GGGGGGGGGGGGGGAAGGAGGGGGGGAGGGAAGGACGCTGCAAAGCCCCACCCCCTCCCTCCTGGCCCACCTGGCAGGGCCGGCCGGAGGAGACCCCCGGGGTCTGAGTGTGTGTGTGTCGGGAGGGGGGGGGGCGCAGGAGGAAGGGCAGGACGGGGACCCCCCCCCCATTCCTCCCCACGGGAGGGGGAGTCTCGCGCTTACCGGCCAGCCCGCCTCCCCCGCCGCCCTCCTGGCCGTATCCGCGGCGCCGCTGCAGCACGAAGAAGCGGTTGCATCGCTCCTGCACCCACAGCCGCAGGGCGCTCTTCAGCAGCAGCTCCTCGGGCTTCAGCCACATCGCCGCCGCCGCCGCCGCCGCCGCCACCCAGCCCGGGCTCAGCTGGGAGGGGCGGCGCCTGGCTCCTCGCCACGCCCCCCGCGGCGCCCGCCGGGAAATGGAGTGCCGGCGGCGCTTCCGCCGGGCTCGGCGCCTCCCGGGAGGAAGGACGCACTACAAGCCCCGGCATGCCCCGCGCGGCTGGGGGCGCGGCTAGGGAGGGAGGGAGGGAGGCGGGGCTGGGCCTCAGCTGGGGAGCAGCAGCTGTTGGTGGGGGCTTTGGGGAGGTTCCCCTTTGCCCCCCCCCCCTTGGGGCACCTTCGGCTCCCAGAATCCCCCATCCTGCATGGGGCTTTAAAGGTGGGAGGGGGCTTCAATTCCCCAAAGTCAGCTAGTATCCCTCTTTCAAGGGGGGAGGGGGGGGCTTCAATTCCTTAGCATGCAGATGCCTTTAAAGGAGTGTGGAGTGTGTTTCTATGTGTGTGTGTGTGTGTGTGTTACAATTTCCAGAATTCCCCAGATTGTGGCATCTGTCATTGGCAGTGATCCAGCTCTCTTCCACCACCGATGGTATACATATATTTTTTTTCAACCATAGCAAACCACACTCTCATGGTGAGACGGGCAGTGAACGAATGCAATACCTAATAACAACAACAACACGTTAATGACCGCATCGCTTAGCAACAGCGATCCCAGGAGTCCCGGTTGCCGTCATAACTCCAGGACTGCGCGGTTTGCCAAGTGGGAAGAGGCGGGAGTCACAGGTTCAGAGGAGAAACTTGCAACTTCCGGCCGCCTGGGAAATCACGTTCACCCGACTGTGGCTGCACACGAGATTCAAGATTCCCAATATTCCCACTCTGTGTCCCCCTTTCCTTTTTCTCTCCATTTCTGCACAGCCTAATATTGTTTAAATTCTCTATCTCCTGCAGGTGTTTCCTCATTCTTCCGGTGTTGTGCAAATACAATCCTTGCTGCTGTCAAAACATGTAATATCGAATAAACATTCCCCTTATCATATTTTTCTGGTATTTCTGGCCTAACAGACGTAGTTCTGCCTTATAATCTATATGCCCTTTTAACATTTTTTCCTAACCACTTATGCATTTTTGTCCAATGGGCCTTGCTCGGCTCCCTCGCTCGCCTTTTTTGCACAGAAGGCCAGGAGAAGCCGATTATTCCTCCGAGCAAACTCACTGATTTTTACTCTCAGTTTACTTGTGGATCTTCTGAGGCAGGACAAGTTGAGGAGATCAGCTCAGAGCTATTGCAGCTAAGGACTTAACAAACGGTCTGCAACCACAATTACATTTTTTCCTATCCTCTCTTTGAACGCAGGCAAAATCGCCAGCCAAACTACGAATCTTTCTCCCTTTGCTGACTTTTAATATACAAGGCAGAACTTAATAGCACTACAGTACTTGAGATCCGCTAAAAGAGCTTCTTTTCGAAGATATTGGTAATTATTTTTTCCACTCCTCTTTGACATTATGCTGCTGTGATGCTGAGGTTGAAGCAGGTCCCACAATCAGTCAGGATATTAAACATTTTTTTTAATCAACCGTTACAAATTCTGCCTTAAACTAGGAGTGTCTTATGCACCCAAATGTGCAGCTATTTAGGCATTTCTCCCCACAACCGGAGTTATTTTTAAATAGCTGGAATTACTAACTGTACGGTAATCCGTCCCTAAATGGCTTCTCTTCATATCTCGGTGATTAATTTCTCGTATCTACTTAAGCGAGCTCTCTCCTTTTTAAAGAATGGAAATAATTTTAAAGTTGAGATCAGGTGTGAAATCTACTTACCTTCGCTACCGGTTTGCAAATTTGACACCTGCGCAGAGCATCAAAACGGGTGTGATGACATCCGGGCGGAGGTACCGAGCGCCCCCGATAAGGGAAGTAGAACAGCGAGGTGCCGGGGGGGGGGGGGATCCGCTGTGCTATGTGATTTAGATTAGCTAGAAAATAGGAAATCCTGCTTTCTACCTAATCACACGTCACGGCTGACTGTCGGAAATACCAATTTGCCCGATACCGGTAGCATTTTTTTTTACTACCAGTTCGGGCGAACCGGTCCAAACCGGTAGCATTTCACCCCTGGTTGAGATGCACACTACCAAGCAATCTGCTCCACCGAGAGTTGGACTCGGACAGAAAGCCCCTTGAAAAGACCAGAAGCCTTTGAAATGTGGGTTGACAGGCGGCTGTTGCATATAAGCTGCATTGGCAAAATCAGAAAGGAGGAGGGGATAAACCCCCTGGGAAAGCCAAGGGAAATCATCAGAACCATTAAAAACCGAAAGAATATTTCGGACCTGTGATGCGACACCTGGAAAAAAACACGGCATCCGTCACTTAATCCTCCAGGGAAAGACTGAAGGCGAAGGAGGCCCAGGCGGAAGAAGAACATCATTGGGGCTTCAGAATCTGAGTGACCGGTTGGGACAAAACTCAGCCGGGCTTTTTCACGTGGCTGTTGATAAAAATAGGATGGCCAACATCCGATGACGGACTTGGCACAAGAAGATGAAGCAGCAGCAATCTGAACTTTCCGAAGCAACATGAGGGTTAGACTGTCGAACAGACACGGATATTCAACTGTTTTTATTTTATTTTTCAAAAAAGGAGAATATTCTAAACAGGCAGTAGTAGAGCTTTATTTACATTTTGTATTCAAAGGAATTAAGTAGAAATCAAATATTTACAATTTCATTGAACACTATGCCAAAAGGGAGAAAGGCCTACTGATTTTTCCTATCGGAATCAAGTGTGGGAAAAGGCATCATCGCTCTTCCTCCGTCCACTTAAGCTGGGCTTGCAATCAGAAACGGAAACACAGAGGCGAGATAAAGTGCATTATTAAATAATAGGAAATTCACTTTGGTGGGTGAGGCTTTGGGGCTCTAGGCAAAGGCACCCCGTCTTCCCCTTATTCCTGTCTTACACGTTAGAAAAATAATTTTAAAAGTTCACCCGTTCATTAATTCCCAGTTTAGCCCCGTCCAGGCATTGCCTGTTCTGAATATTTACAGTACTCTTTGGGTCTCCTTAACTTAGCTGTTTTCTTTGGAGTAGCAGCAGCAGCAGCAACAAAATAGTCCCTCTGACAAAGTTAAGAGCAGCACTAACTAAAAACTCCACCGTTCATTGGGCCGCCTGGCAGCTTGTTAAGACCGCAACAACGATGACAAAAACACAGCACAGGGCAAATTTTATGCCCTGTACAAGAGAAGTTGCATTTTGTTCCCTTGAACATGTTTGTTTCAGAGTGTTAAATTTTGCTCTATAATTGATGAAGGGTGATGGTGGAAAGGAAATATTCCCAGTGTCTTTTACCGTCAAGATTAAAACCTGAATTGCTTGGTGATTTAGCGCATCAAGAGGCGATTCTCAAAAATCAAGACAAGGAAAACCTGTCAATAAATTACATAAAAGCCGAAAGTTAATTCAAACCAGGGCTGAAAAGCAGCATACATACACCTGGTGGCCTCAACACCCGAAAGCTTAAATTTTTTTTTAAAAAAGCTAACTCGATTAATTTAAACTTAATTTGAATATATATACATGGGTTAATGCTTCTGTAGGACGAACAGCCGAAGTTCTACTGCAAGGAAAAGAGCGACCAGGGTCTTCACAGGATGCTCAGAGGTTTTTTTCCTGGGTGGCGTCAGAAGGAAAGAACCAATAATATACTAAAAGGCTAATTCAGGAAGAGAAAGAAGTGAAAGGGCAAAGGCCACTCCAGAGAATTGCAATCTTAAAATTGTGTATTTTATCTTGGGGGGGTGGGGGGTGGGGGGGTCCTCAAGGGAACGTTGCTGCTACGTCAGTCTTCGCGGTCTCCTCGCGGTTGGGATGCTGGTTGTCTCAAGCGAACTGCAGTCTTGCGCCAACAGCACCTAGGATTTCACGGGCTGCTCTGGGGCTTCGTCCCCTTCGAAGCCAGGATTGTCAAGATGGGGCAGCGTCTCCACATCCGGGGTCTGCGGAGCATTCACAAGACGGAGATGGTCACCTTCGGAGAAAGGAAGAGGGAGAGGCGGAGAGAGTTGGCTATTTTCTCAAAGCCCGTCACATTTTTTGTACGAGGTAGAGCAGGGGTATCAAACTCAAGGCCTGGGGGGCCGGATCCGACCCCCGGGGTGCTTAGATCTGACCCAGGGGCTGCCCTGGAAATAGTGAAGGACCAGCCCGTGGTGTCTCTGCCAGCGAGTGGCCCAACGAACTCGAGTTTGACACCCCTGAGCTACAGGGAAACCTTGAGATGGGAACGTCATGGAGCATGCTGAAAGGGGTGATGGCCATTAAGCGAGACGGCCCAGTTTAATGTTAGAAGCCTTTTAACAGATTTTAACAGATTAACAGAGTTGGAAGGGACCTTGTAGGTCATCTAGTCAACCCCCCCCCCCCGCCCAAGCAGGAGACCCTACACCTTTTCCGACATATGGCAGCCCAGTCTCTTCTTGAAAGCCTCCAGGGATGAAGCTCCCATAACTTCTGAAGGCAACATTTGTTCCATGGGTTGATTGTTCTCCCTGTCAGAAAATTTCTCCTTATTTCCAGGTTGAAGCTCTCCTTGCTCAGTTTCCATCCTTCATGGGCTTTGGAAAACAGCTTGAACCACCCCCCCACTCTGGGGCAGCCCTCAAATATTGAGAGGCTGCTATCCTGTCTCCCCTGGTCCTTCTTTTCACTACACCAACTATGCCCAGTTCCAATTCATCACATTTCAGCCTCCAGTCCCCTCATCCTCTTGGTTGCTCCTCTCTGCACTCTTTCTAGAGTCTCCACATCTTTTTTATGGTGTGGTGACCAAAACTGGATGCAGTTATTCCAGGTGTGACCTTACTAGGGCTTTTAATAGTAGTATTAGTACCTCCCTTGATCTTGATTGTATCCCTCTGTTAATGCAGTTTAGGATTGTGTTGGCTTTTTTGCCTGCCACCACACACTGCTGGCTGATATTTAACTGGTTCTCCACTAGGACCCCAAGATCCCTCTCAGAGTTACTACTATTAAGCCTGGTTTCAACATTTCGATTTTGATTTCTGAGTTTTCAGTTCAGAGCATCCTCTGCTAGGGGAAAAGAGAAGGAACTCTTCCACGGACGAGCAGACTGTGGCTGCAGGGACAACTGGGGGCTTCGGGCCTAAGCCACCGACCTTACACACCGAGAGGTCTGAAGGCTTCCTGGGACGTTAATTGGAGTTTTAAAAGAAAGGACTTAATAGGCTTAAACACCGTTAAGTTCATAGATCGGTTTGAACAGTTCCATCGGTTCAAAAATAGAAAGTGAATTTTTCAAGTCGGAAAAAGATTATCTGTCGGGGGATGTTTTTGCCAACTAGGCCCATAATCCTTATTAGCCTTCTACAGTTCCTAATTTTATTAAGGAGGATTTTCATTCAAAAGCCGCCTTCGAAAGATCATTCTAGGATTTGGTGGCTACGAACAAGATCATAACAGCCAAATCCTAGAATGGATTGTGCAAAGTTAGGCTTTTCCTTCAACTTCTATTATTTTTGCTCAACTACTATTGTACGGAATTCCTCTTTTTAAAAGGCTGCAATTTTTTTTAAAAAGAGCTCATTAATTAGATCAGGAGCTACAACAGGCTTCTCCATCTTGGCAGGATAAATCAGAAAGGCAATATTGCAATGGCCCTACTCACTGGGAATTGATGGGAGTCGGTGTCTTGATATATCTGAAAAAATGTGACACATATTTAGTAGCTTAAAAAGTTCACAGGCTTGGATAAAAGTCGGTGCAGTATTTCCAACAGCAGCAATGTTCACGGATTTTCGGCAGCCAATCACCTGCGTTTATTGGATGGCTGGATTAATAAAGTTGCTGTTGATAAGTCTTTAAGGTTGCACATAAAAACAACATCCGGGAGCTTCAGAAAAGTCTCCTGGGTTCCTGGATGCAGAAATGGTTTTCTGGAACTATAAATCCGAAAGGAAATCTAGCCTTTTATTCAGCGAAGGAACTTTAAAAAAAGCATCCTAACATTTCTCTGTCATCTCAACTCCTCCAATCACAGCGCTTAATAAGAGCAGAGACACAGTTCGGTCTCGTGATTAAGGCACCAGGCTAGAAAGTGGGAGACGGTGAGTTCCAGTCCTGCCTTAGGCATGAAAGCAGCTGCCTCACTTTGGCCCAACCACTAAGAGACAAGCGAGTTTTTCTCCCACTTTGGGCACGAAGGCCGGCTGGGCCAGCCTCTCTCTCTTAGCCCAGCCTACCTCACAGGGCTGTTGCTTGGGCTGCCTACGTTCACTACCACCACCTCCCTCCCTCCCTCCCTCACACACACTGGATACCAGCACAATCTGTTAGTGTCATCACTACTTTTGAGCAAAAATGAACGTAAACTCCCTCTCCTCCTGGTGGTGCCACTGAATCCCCAGCAGGGGGCAGCCGACACCAGCCAATTGTTTGTGCCAAAGGGAAAACCGAAGGGACGTTTGCTCCAGAGAAAGAATCGGGTGATTGTAATCTACGAGAGATGTAGGAAACTTACTCTCTGGAGTAACACGTTCCTCCGGAGCCGGTTCGTCAGCTCCCTGCACGGAAGCGTACCCCGACGAGGCGGTCTCGCTATGATTATCTTCTTCGTTAACCGTAGGGACGTTCGAGGCTTCGCTGGGTGTCGTGGGGGCTGGAGTAGCTTCTCCTCGCTCTTCTACATCCACCTGCGCCAAGTAGAATTTTGCGGGAAGAAACTGGTTAGCAAAAAAAAAAGTTACTTCCGCAAAGCTAAAAGTAGCCTTCTTGCCATCTACCGCATTTCCCCGAAAATAGGCTGCATAAACAGGGGGACAGAATCAAGATCAAGTGAAGGGTTAATACCACTTTATAAGGCCTTGGTAAAGCCACACTTGGAATATTTGCATCCAGTTTTGGTCACCACGATGTAGAAAAAATGTGGAGACTCTGGAAAGAGACCAGAGAAGAGCAACAAAGATGATTAGGGGAATGGAGACTAAAACATATGAAGAACGGTTGCAGGAACTGGGCATCTCTAGTTGAATGAAAAGAAGGACTACGG